TGTTTAACACAATAGCAAATTCAATATTTGTTTTATATTCCACCCCTCCCTCCCCCTCCTCCAACTTGCACCACACACGAACACCTGTATTTCTACCTGTCCTGTCTGTTCAAGCCTGTATTAACTCTAAAAGATCACTGTATTAATTTCACAGTTTAATCAACGAAAAAAAAAAACGGTCTTCGCACTTTGAAGATTTGAGGAGTCCAAAGAAAATGTCCAACACAATAGTGCAGTCTCACGCGACTGTTTTGAAAAGTCCACTTCAAGAGAACACCCGAAATAGAGTTAAAAAGAAAATATCTTGGCCGTAATTTTTTCTTGAACAAACTTGTGACGTCAGACGACAAGTGATACGGGGGCAGCCGGCATTAGCAGCCGGCGTTAGCAGCCGGCATTAGCCGGTCCTTAGAACACTTGGCATGCTCGCCACTTCAAAAGCCGACAGGATTTCGTTTGAAGGCGGGAATGGAGTTGCTTTGAAAAGCCGTGCGGCGGGCCCGGATGGACGTACGGAGAGGAGCAGACGATATGTTGACACAGCACGCGGCCCGGCTAAGGAGGAGATCTCGCCGGCTAGGATGGCAGCGATCAAAGGCTGAAATTCTTCTTCTCCACCCAGACTAGCATCGGGCACAAGTTTCAGCCAAACTTTGTGCCCGCGGTCAGAACTTTTGATGATTGCAGTTGAAAGGACGAATTTACATGCACAAGTTCTGATGACGTCAAATGGAGATTTAACAAAATTGAATAACTAGTGGTGTTATAGATCAAAGGGTTAAAAATAGGATAAAAGCCATTAAATCGTGGTCAAATAATTCATGTTAACAAAAAGGATTATTAGAAATAGGGAGTGGGGGTGTCTTCTGACAAATGTTTTAGTTTACCCCATATTTGCCCGAGATCCGGTATCAAACACCTCCAGCTTACACTCGGCACTCGAGTGTTTGTCTTTAAACACAACACAGCACCGCCTTCACGTTGGTGCACTCCAAAAACTGCTGAGATTTTTTTTGGTAGGGTTTTTTTTTGTTTCGTTAGATTTAAAAAAATTGAGTGCCGGGCTAAAAATAAAATAAACATAGATCTAGAACTCGCTTCTAATGAGGTATGTTTTTGTTTCAATCTAGGTCCTAGGTGTTAGTTTCACACATACAAAGCTAAATGTAATGTTGAAAGATTAAATTAGATCTAACAGAAGACAGCTATTTTCAAACACTTAATTAATGACGTTTATAGGCAGATACCTAATGTCGTCCTTAGTCAGTCAGAAAATGACGTCTATAGTCAGTCAGAAAATGACGTCTATAGTCAGTCAGAAAATGACGTCTATAGTCAGTCAGAAAATGACGTCTATAGTCAGTCAGAAAATGACGTCTATAGTCAGTCAGAAAATGACGTCCTTAGTCAGTCAGAAAATGACGTCTATCGACGGTAAATTTAAAGACGTCTATGTTCAGATATTAAATGACGTCTGTAGTCTGACACTAAAAAAAGTGCAATAAAATATAATTAATAATGGAAACCTGTATTTATTTAACTGGGTTTTAGTATTGCCTTTTTATTTTTGCTATGAATTTAAAAACTCTAGCATAACGGTACAGCCAATCGTACAATCATATCAGCGTATGTCAACTGGTATCTAGGTAACGCTTTTGTCGGCTGAGAAACTGGAACACGTTTTTACACTGAGTGGCACATCTATTTAAATGTTTTTTTTTTTTTCGACTTGACGCACCTTTACACCGTAACTATTGTTGCTAGACTGCTTCACCTCTAGGAAATTGTGTATTTTCGTGAAAAGAGCGCTAAAATGAAGTCACACCCTCCTCCTCAAAATAGTAGCTTTGGTTTTTTTACTTTCTCGTATATAAGAAGTAGGCTATAGAGAAAGTATTGTAATCATGCAAAAAAAAAATCGAGATTTTTGCAAATCTCGACGTTTTACACCTCACTGATACGGAAAAACATAATTTTGCAATCTTGTCCGTATGTCTGTGTGTGTGTGTGTGTGTGTGTGTGTGTGTGTCTGTGTGTCTGTAAACACGATAACTTGAGTACCATTACAGCTAGGTTGATGAAATTTCATGGAATAGGTATTTTATCAAAATCGTAGATCCGTATCAACTTTTGAGCGATTTCTGATAACCGGAAGTGGTACTTTTTTACTTTGAATTTTTCAAAAGCCTATAACTTGAGTACTATTTCAGATAGATAAATGAAGTTTCACATGTAAGTAAAAGATCTAATTTTCTACCTTCTATAAAATTTTGAGTAATTTCCGTTGACCGGAGATCACTCCCGGCTTATTAAACTATCGATTACTTAATAAAATATTTACTTTGCTCGGTCAAAATTCAATATACTAATCAATTTCTATAACCATTTACAAATTCCGGCTTTTTAAAGTACTAAGTAACTTTTAAAATACAGACTTTAACAATTTTTACCCCTCCCGTCAAACATCGTCACTAAGGTCCAACCCATCCCATCCCTCCCTTCCTCCCCACCACCTTCCAGGAGTGTGCGGTCTATTAGGACGACTCCATAGAAAATTTTACGTAACACATAACATATAGACTCCCGAACGTCCCCTGAACTTGTACACTAAGATCAACATAGCTGTCTAGTCAATGAAATCTTTCAAAAAGTTAAACTACACTACTGTGATAAAATTACTTTTAACTTTTTTTAGTTTTCTTTCTAGTTTATAATAATGTTGAGTGAGGACGTTTGATGTCGGAAAACATATAATAGCAGATACAATAATATCTTTAGATACTCGCACACACATACACATAACGTTATTAGACACAACAACCGTACATCAAATTTGTGGGACGGAGTGGTCTAGCGGTAGAGAGCTGGACTGCTAACCCGTAGGTCTCGAGTTCGAATCCGGATTCAAGTCAATAGACCACCCCTGAGTCCACCCAGCTCTGATGGGTACCTAACTCACGTTAGGGAAAGCAAAGGCGGCTGGGCATAGTGCTGACCACACTCTCTCTTCATATGCCGAGATCACAGAAACAAGTGAACTCTGGTTTATAAACCGTTAGGTTTGAAAGGGAACTTTACTTACATCAAATGTACATGGAGATATAATTGCTTGATTAGGTTTTGTGTAGCTTTTGGTAAAATTCAATTTATAGAAGTAAGTGAACAAAAATTTGAATCTTTTGAACTATTTCACCGAATGAAACTAATTCACGAATATTAAAATGAAAAGATTAATAATCACAAAAATTTTATCAGTTAAAAAATCGTCATGTACAATAATAACAATTCTTGGATGAGCTGTAAACTGACAAGACTTGTGCTAATGTTTTATCTTGTTCGTGTTAAGCTTGATATTTTAATCCAGTGTTTCTTCCAGACTTTTTTTTCCGGGGGGGGGGGGCGGTAGACTTTCTTCGGGGGGGGGGGGGGGGCGGACAATGTTAAAAGTATAGATTTTCTATATAAATTATATAAATTTCATTTCGTTCGGGAGGGGGGGGGGGGGCGGTAAAAAAATTTCGGGGGGGGGGGGGGGGGCAAAGCTCCCCCCCCCCCCCGAAGAGATGCCTGGAAGAAACTCTTTTTTAATCTAGTTGCGTCACTAAATCGGGGGATACATTTGATGAATGTTTTATTTGGTGTCACTCCCCAAAAGGGTATCACCTGTTGCGGGCAACACCACCACCTAGTGACGCCCCTTCTACAATCTACTACTACTCTGCCTGGGGAAAGTGTGGTCTTACAAAATCAAATCCTGAAGCGCTATAGAACAAACTTTAGCCAATCTCAACAAAAATCAATGAAACATAGGTCTTACATATTGGAAACGCATTTATCAAGTGACTTTTTAGCTTCCAGTAGTTAAAAAAAAGTAATATTAAGATAATAATTAATTATGTAAAGTATAAGTAAACTTATACTAATTGAAGAATTAGTTTTGGTAGTTAACATTGGAAACAAGTAGGACAATTAAACAATGGAGCTTTTTAAAATAGCAACAAAAAATACTTTATTATCTCAAATGTTCAGATTGATTGTAAATAACATGTGAATATTTTATCATACATCGTGCACAACCTGGACAAATTAGACTGGTAATTAACATGCGAAAATTAGTTCCATGTTCAACTGTTATCAATAAACATCTTTCAATTGTAAAGTAAATAATTTTTCTGAACATATCACAGTTTTTTTTTAAACATGACATCATCAGACCCCCCGTTATGACGTCACAGGTCACGTGACTGTAGGCCTAGGATCATAAACATAATAATATGTAAACATAAACAATCATTTTTTTTTTCTCGGCCATCATTAATCGTGACGTTTTTTGTTACCTCCACTGTTAAAGAAAATTGCGGTTAATTAGTCAGTAAATTCCTTAATGCAAAATTTTCGAAAATAAAATAAAAATGAATTTAAAAATTCAAAGTGCTTGTGAAGCCATTCATGTTTTGTGAAATATTTGACCTGCAAAAACCGCCTGTGTTATTTGGCGATATTTATAAAAATGTTGCACTGAAACTTGCATTTCATTTGTGAAAATTGTTTTTTAACACTAGCGCCATACTTGGTAGAGTTTTTATAAATAGTTGTATGGTACCACCTAATAGCGGCTGAACATAGGATGTATTCGCTGGCACTATAGTGAAAGACTTCCAGTGACATATGCTATGGCATCGTTGTTACTTCTAGGTTTTTTTTGTACCGTAGTTTTTAGAACGATGTAGTGGTTTTCGTTTAAACTTAAACTATAACCATAAACTATAACCACTTCAATGGTAAACATTTGATTTATCTTTCCTTTTGTATCAGTAATAAACGATACAAACAAATGATCATAGCTTTTTTTTTTTTTTTTTTTTTGTAAGTTCGGAAAAACAAATGATTGCAAAAAACATCATTTAGATTCAACCATTGAATAAAATAATAAAGTAGACATTTGAGACATGTCTGAACTAGGCAGACATTTGAGACAGTGTCTGAACTAGGCAGACAGTCTACGTGTGCCGGGTAAGTCTGTTTTCCTTATCGTCTTTGATATCCTGCGTCCTATGGAGCTCAGGGTCAAAGGTCACGTGGTGCTGGTACTCCCTAAACCCGACCAGCTCGGGAGAAAAGTATCGGGTCTCCCCGGTGGTGAGGTAAGGTCCACGGGTCTCCCCGGTGGTGAGGTACGGTCCACTTAAAACAGTGGTCTGGTGTTTGTGGTGGTTGCTGTGGTAACTGTTGTTGTCGTCAAGCTGGCGTCTGCTGGCGTGGCTTTCGACAGTTTCGTCGTCGCTGACCTCTGACCCCGAGCTGTGACCCGAGCGGTAATCCGGGTACTCACACCCGACATCGATGTCCTCATCCACGCTGTCGTCGTCGTCACAGAAACCATCCAGGCTGAGCGATGACGTGTTCTGGTCGAGGTTTTTATCGTCGTCATCATCGCTTGTTTTATCTCTCTTGATCTCGTGGGTCCGCGTGTGTTTGCTGAGATGGTCGCTGCGCATGAACCGTTTGCCGCAGTCCCCGCACTCGAAGTTCTTCTCTCCCGTGTGGGTCCGCAGGTGACGCTGTAGCTCGTCGGAGCGGGTGAAGCGCTTCTGGCAGTACAACCACCGACAGACAAACGGCCGTTCTCCTGCGTGGCCGCGAAGATGCGCTTTGAGATGGGAGGTTTTGCCGTATTCTTTACCACACCCAGGGTAGTGGCAGACGTGCATGCGGCGCTTGTTGGGGCTGGAGCTCGGGCTGTTGGAGCTCTTGAGGCAGTTCGGGCATCGGCAGCGTCGACAACGTCGTGGGGCTGGTCGCTCTAGGAGTTCCCCGCACATGGGGGGTAGGGGGGAGGTTAGGAAGGGGTGAAGTCTGGGGTCGACTGGACGGTAGAACACACGGGGAGTGATGTTGATGAGACCCGGGGGTGGTGGGGGGAGGGGGCCAGGTGAGCTGGGGTAGGGTGGCCTCTGGACGCTCCACCAATGACGTTCTGCCGTGTCGCCGACAAGGGGCGGAGTCATGTGCGGGTGATTGATGGCTGGGACAGAAGGGCGTGGTCCAGGTAAGGTAGGGGAGGCGGGGGATAGGGAACCTCGGGGTGTGGGTGGGGCAGGGGGTGGGGCAGTGGGCGGGGCAGGGGGTGGGGCAGAGGGTGGGATCCTGAGAGGCATCATGTTAGGCTGGGGTAGGGTTATCTGCCTTGGGGAGAGTCTATGTTGGATGCTGGCTTGTTGTATGCTGGCTTGTTGGATGCGAGTCTCCATCATCAGTTTATCCTGTGCCTGCAAGAAAAGCTGTTGCTGTTGCATGCTGTGCTGCTGTTGTTGCTGTTGTTGCAGGTGAAGCTGCTGCATCTGCTGACTGGGCCCGCCGTTGCTGAAGAACGGCTGGCTAGGCACGCGCGTGCTGAAAAGGTCAAGGTTAGGCGAGAGGAGTGGCGCGCCTGACGACATGATCTTCTGCTGGAGGGCCGTTGTGCGCATGGCCTGCTCCTGTATCCTGGCCAACAACAGGCCATCAAGGCACGGGCCATGTGGGTTGTGTGGGCTGTGGGGGTTGTGTGGGCTGTGTGTGTTGTGTGATAGCTGGTGATGTCCACTGGACGGAATACTCAAATCCCCGTTAGTCCGCAGTGACGTCACGTCACCTTGTGTGTGCACCCGTGCGTGAAACGAGCCTCTGTCTGGCGTCACGTGACCCGGCCAGTGGCCCTGGAACTCTGGCTGGCTGAAGGTCTGGAACACTGTGGGGATGGGCCGGTGGACGGGGCGGGGGTGGCCGGGTAGGACGGCTTGCATGGTTTCACTGGAAGTAGAACAACAATATTTAGATGACCACAGGAAGAGATTTTTAAAAATGTTTTAGTTCAATGCTAAAATCTGTACATTTTAAACAGGAATTTAGATGGGAATGTAAGAAAGCAACTGCATAGTGAAAGTTTAAAATCACAACATTAAAAGAAAATTTATAAAAATGTGGTTCGTTCTGATGTAGTTTTGTTTATTTTTGTAATATTTGTATATCTAATAGAGTAGGCCAAATACATTATATTTAATATAAAAAAATTAAGTTAAATTGAACTATTCTTATTTAGTTATTATTGCTAAATGTAAATTACTTTTAGAAAAATTGATCTTCTAATTTATTTATTTTTAATTAAGAATTTCAAATTGAATCAAAGTCCGCTATCAAACTTAAAAATACAACTTTCACTTTCGTCTATAAATTAAATTAATACCGGCCGTAATTAATTATATTTGATCACAAAACAAACGTCTTTTATTTTAAAAAAAACAACTATTGTTGCATAAAACGAAAAAGAAATGAGCCCAACACTTAGAAGGTTAAAATATACCTTTACATGAGTTTTTTAATTAATCCACGCTACAACACCACAGATAATCCAATTAATATCCACGCTACAACACCACAGATAATCCAATTAATATCCACGGTATGACACCACAGATAATCCAATTATTATTCACGCTACGACACCACAGATAATCCACTCGACAAGACAGCATCACGTGATCCATCTCGACGAGACCGTCTGCCCGCGCTACTTATATCACTCGCCTGTCACAAGATCGACAACCCCCCACACCCCACGACACCCCGGTGATACAGAGGTTGTTACCTCCCCTGGTTTTCACACCTCCCCCACCGTCTCCCGTCGCTTCCTCCCGTCTGCCGAGCAGACGAGAGCAGAATATCATAAGGTCAACCCACCCTCTGCCGCTCTAGGCAAACATCCACGGCACCGTCACCTCGTATAACACCCTAATCTCTGCCTTTATAATAAACGCTTGCCTATTATTGATACTTTCAGTAAAAGAGAGAGAACTCTAGTTACTCAATTCCCTCCCCTTAATTTTTTTTCCTCGCCTAAGCTTCTCATCGCGTCTCATCATTCTCCCCAACAATCATCAAAGAGTTGCAGTTCTTTACCGTCCCGGGCGTGGGTAGCGGCCCTTGTGTCTGGCCGCCCCCTCCCTCCCCGCCCGTCTTGTTTCCCCTGTCTCAGATCTCGCGGGGCCCGAGGCCGTGTTTCCTGCCGGCGCGCCGGACGGCCGGCATCGTGCACCGGTTACCCCGGGTCGTCCTGGCGTGGTTGTTTCCCTTGCCAGGGGCGGATGATGGGGTCTTCATTAGGGGATTTCACCGTCCACTGTCTACACTGCAGGCATAGGGGGACTATGATGCCCCTACTGTTCGTTATATTTATTTTTTACTTTCTCGTATACAGTTTCACATTCAAATTTGTAGTTCTGTATCAACTTTTCAACGATTTCCGATAACCGAAAATGAAACTTTTTCTACTTTCAATTTTTCAAAAGCCTATAACTTGAGTACTATTTCAGAACGATACATGAAATTTCACATATAAGTAAAGGAACTAATTCTCTGCCTTCTGTCAAATTTTGAGTAATTTCCGTTGACCGGAAGAAGTAATTTACGCTATTTCCGATTTCTCAAAAAATGCATGTGAATTTATAAAGCAGTAATAGTATTCCGCACTATTATACACATTTTGTTTGGCGTTCACATGGTACGCGATTCTTTTTTTCTACGCGATTCTATTCTATTTTAAAAAGTTTAAGTAATTAAACATGGATTAACAATAATGTCTATATCCCGAGTTGCCATCCCCCGTAGTGTTATATGAGAATATTCGAGAAAGTTTAAGGAAGATCACCAACGTTCCCTCTAAGAGGAAAGGGCGTGTGTGCAGCTTTTATTTTATGTGCGCGGTGTTCTAAACGTCTTATACAAGGATATATGTATTTTACAAAAGGACTGTCGCGCAGGTTCAAAACTACTGCGCGGCCTCTCAACCGTGCAGCTTAGAGGGAACACTGGAGATCAATTCTGGTTTATTTTAAATTAAAATCTAGATAATAAAGTCAATATAAAGTTATTTAACAGAAGTGTCCACTTTAATAATGGCATTGACGATCATAGACATAGGCCAAACAAATAAAATTTAACACTTTCTTATGGTTACAGGTGATTTTGTGGAAGTGTGAGGGGGGGGGGGGGGGCGGTATTTATTTTATTTATTTGAATTTAGTTAATAAATGCAAATTTAAAAAAAACCCAATAATTCCTATGTTTGTATACAGAAGTGTGCTACGTTAAAAACGCTATCAGCGCAATCTATTCTCAGTTGGTGGTCTGTCTACTCGGTTTTTTTTGTAAGTGTTTTCGGTCTGTTGTCTATGTCTAAAGCACAAATCCCTAGATTTGGATCCAAATTGTATCTGTGCTGAGAGAAGATCCGGGGACAGTACAGACAGAGACCTGTGGGGGGGGGGGGGGGATACACACCAGACTTTAGAACAGCTGGGAGATTGTTGTTGGCGAGTGTTAGAAGAAAAAAAAAAATTAAAATTACCAACTTTGTAATGAACGTAATTTGCTCGACGCTACAACAAACATGACGGGAACTTGTGCTAGTTTTATGTAGGGCTGCGGCTGTTTTCATGTTGCTGTTGTCTCAGCTGTTACATGGGCTGTTCAAACATGTAGCCTCACACCTCTACCACCCCCCACCCTTTATTTCACTTACTCCTGCTCCATTCTACCTACCTTTTTTTCCACCCCCCCCCCCCTCCGCCCTGTGTATTCTATCTATTGCCTGTATACAGATGTGTGCGGTTCTAAAATAGCGCCATCTATTCTCAGTTCGTGGTCTGTGTAAATGGTTTATTGTGTATGTGATCTCGGTCTATTGTCTATGTTCTCAATCTATCGTCTCAGTCTATTTCCTCGATCTATTGTCTACGTCTATGTTATCAATCTATCGTCTCAGTCTATTTTCTCGGTCCATTGTGCAATTCTGTGTTTCAGTCCATTATTTAAACTTTTCTATACACGAACCAAATAATCTGAACTCTAACACCCTGATCTCCCCCCCCCCCCCTACCCACACCTCCCCCACCCCGTCAGCTTATTCCCACGCTGTTTGCCCTACCGTTTTTGATCTACCATTAACCAAACATCTTATCCCTCTTGTTCGCGGGAGTTGTGCCCCTTTTGACAATATTGTCTATTTGTCTCCCCTGACAAGAACCCCCACGACCCTACGACCCCTCCTGTGTGCTACCGTCCACCAATAAAAAGTGAGGAAAAGTTAGCTCCCTTTGATGTCCGTCTAGCGGCTAATACCGTTCAATATATAGCGGCGAGTCTATGACGGCGGGTGTATGGCGAAATGAAATCGCGTGTGTCAATGCCTGTCTAAGAAAGGTGTCTATTGACAGGCCCGGGGGGCGGATGATGAAATGGAGAGTCGGGGCGGGGAACTCCCCACCCTCCGCGCCGCCCGGCTATAGAAACGTCTAATTGGATTGCTCCACATCAAAGGCCGGCTCGCCGCGCCCCGCCGGCCGGATTACCACGCTCCATCGGTTCAGCCGGGGTCATCGGGTGCTCGCTTGCCCGACCCCGTCCCTGACGTCACGACATTGATTTCAGTCGTCACGTGACTGATTTGAAAGTTTGTGACAAAGTTAACCGTTACTGTGAAATTAAAATGTTTGTGACAAGTTTGACCGTTACTGTAAAATTAGAAAGTTCGTGACAAATTTGACCGGTACTGTACAATTAGAAAGTTTGCGTCAAATTTGACTATTAATGTAAAATTAGAAAGTTTGTGACAAGTTTAACTGTTACTGGGAAATTAGAAAGTTTGTGACAAATTTGACCGTTACTGGGAAATTAGAAAGTTTGTGACAAATTTGACCGTTACTGGGAAATTAGAAAGTTTGTGACAAATTTGACCCTTACTGAAAAAATTAGAAAGTGTGTGACAAATTTGACCGTTACTGGGAAATTAGAAAGTTTGTGACAAATTTGACCGTTACTGGGAAATTAGAAAGTTTGTGACAAATTTGACCGTTACTGGGAAATTAGAAAGTTTGCGACAAAATTTGACCGTTACTGTGAAATTAAAAAATTTGCGACAAGAATTCGACCGTTACTATGAAATCAGACACCGCTGGTGGCTGCCCTGTAATTTGGTAGCGTCAATTGGTAGACACAGTTCAGCCAGTCATCTCGTTATAGTCGCGTCATGTCAGTGTTTACTGTCAGCCTTATTTCAATGGTCTGGTGGTCTAGTGGTCTGGTGGTCCGGTGGTCTGGTGGTCCAGTGGTCTGGTGGTCCAGTGGTCTAGTGGTCTAGTGGCTAGACTAGACCATTGAAAAAAGACTCTAGCCAACCATGTACAGTTATTCTCGGTAAAAAGTCACCAAAACTGACGTGAGAATTATCTGAGGTGTTTTTTCTTAACCCGGAACACAATCATATGAATCGACTAAATCCTGTTTTTTTCTACTAGAAATAAATAATCTGAACTTGAAACCTTTTGCTAGTGTAAGTCTACATTCATCTGTTCATAACGTTATACTAGACAGAACATTGAAGTAGGCTTAAGTTTGAGGTAAAGCATCACTTGTATAATTCAATTTTGTTGAG